TTTTTTGCCTTTTGCGGCTTCCGGGGGCCCTTACTCGGAAACTGGAACATTCTCAGGAGGGAAAGAAACACACAGGCACAATTCATCGGCGATTCCCGAGAAAATATAGGAAAATATGGGAAGGGGGGGGGAAGACGAAAACCCAGGAATCATGCGACAATATTGGGAATCCCGTTATTTGTGCATTTATTTGTGTGTCCGAGGGCCCCTTCAAAGAATCAGGACGTTTTTGTTTGCCTTTTGCGGCTTCCGGGGGCCCTTCCTCGGAAACTGGAACCTATACATTACCAGTGGCGGGCTGTTTTTTCAATCCCCGGATTTTGTAAGGGTCGGGGACGATGCTGGGGTGGTGTGGTGTATACCTTTTTTCCCCGATGTCCCAGGGAAACAACGAAAAATGTATACACCAGGGTCCCGTGTACACCATGATCCGCTCTCCAGTGCAAGTTTCAATGCAGGGCCGGAAAAAGCGTCGGTGTATAGAGTTCGATCCCCTACTTACCGGCCCTCGGGACCGTCAACAAAAAGGTTCATGATGAAAAACCGATCCAGGGGAATGGGTTGAGACCTCCTCGGGGGTCTTGGAGCCCAGACCCCCTCGAGTCGTGGAAAGAACACGACGGTGCTGTTTGTTGGCTATTGTCGGCCTTTGGGGGGTCCTCGCCTGGCCCTCGGGAGCGTCGAAGAACGACGCAGGATGGAGAACCGGTCCCGGAGAAGGTGTCGAGACCATGAGAGTCGACGTCGTGACAAAATCATGACTCCATGGGGTCTGGGAACGGGCCAGAGCCGCACTACAGCGCCGTTTTTAATACATGCTCCGCGTGCGGATCATGTATCCGTAAGGGCTTCGCCCCCTGCCGCCGGCCCCCTCTCTCGGAGAATGGGCCATGGAAGAGCTAAGTCATGAGGCCTTGGCGCTGTCGTGAAGCAGTATCGAAACTTCATGCGAAGCCGAGTCGCAATCAGCAAAACCAACTTATCACAAGAGGGGTTACCACACCTGGCGATTGGTAAGACGTGTATGGTTTAAGGGCTTGGTTACCACACCTTGCGATGAAAGGGCCGAGGGAGTTCTCGCAGTTTGGGTTACCACGCCTTGCGATGGATGTGCGTGATGGGTTCGAATTTCAGAAATGTGGCAAATCCCCTGTGTTTTTGGACCCTGACCCCGCGGATCTGCGTGAGGGGTGGCGCCGAATTTCAGAAATGTGGCAAATCCCTTGTGTTTTTGGACCCTGACCCCGCGGATCTGCGTGAGGGGTGGCACCGAATTTCAGAAATGTGGCAAATCCCTTGTGTTTTTGGACCCTGACCCCGCGGATCTGCGTGAGGGGTGGCACCGAATTTCAGAAATGTGGCAAATCCCCTGTGTTTTTGGACCCTGACCCCGCGGATCTGCGTGAGGGGTGGCACCGAATTTCAGAAATGTGGCAAATCCCCTGTGTTTTTGGACCCTGACCCCGCGGATCTGCGTGAGGGGTGGCACCGAATTTCAGAAATGTGGCAAATCCCTTGTGTTTTTGGACCCTGACCCCGCGGATCTGCGTGAGGGGTGGCAGAATTTCAGAAATGTGGCAAATCCCCTGTGTTTTTGGACCCTGACCCCGCGGATCTGCGTGAGGGGTGGCACCGAATTTCAGAAATGTGGCAAATCCCATGTGTTTTTGGACCCTGACCCCGCGGATCTGCGTGAGGGGTGGCACCGAATTTCAGAAATGTGGCAAATCCCTTGTGTTTTTGGACCCTGACCCCGCGGATCTGCGTGAGGGGTGTCGATTTCGAGCCCCCCCAGTAATTCAGACAACGCGCCCAGGGGACGCTGGAAAATCCTGTTTGGGCCTCCCCCCCCCTCGCGCGGTCAATCAACTAGTTACAGTAACCAGCAAGAAGTCAACTAGTTACAGTAACCAGCAAGAAGCAGAACTGTAACACTGGAAACTAGAAACTACTAAAGGTACAGGAAACTGCGAATCACGCGCCTCGCAGCCTGGTGGCCCCACAAGGGGGCCGGCGGATTACAAATTCAGGGATTTAGTATTAAAAACAACGATGAGTTCATGCATACATTTATTCATACATTGATCATGTATAAAAAATCCGATGTTCTTAAACATCCCACGTATTAAAAATTGCCCTGTACGTCGGGGGAGTTCATGCAGGAGTGTGCCCCGGGAGGCTGCAGACCCTGGAGGGCTCCTTATATCTGAGGGCGGGCGGCGGTGATAGCCATGGCTGAGCCACGACTGGAGTGTCTCCAGCTTCCAGACCCTGACTTCCCTGTTTAAAGGGTTCCTTGGCCAACGCCCCCCACCGCAGATTGCCGGCGTTGTAGTGCGGGGTGGCAGTCCAGGATGGGGACCCCTGTGGTCCGGGGTGTGTGGTCCGTGGTGGGGGGCCCTTGTCGTCGGGGCGGGGGGGGGCCCTTGTAGTCCAGGGGGGGCTTTAGCAGTCAGGGGGGGGCCCTGTATTCCGGAGGGGTGGGGCCCAGTCCGGGGGGGACCCTTGTAGTCCAGGGGGGGGCTCTTGTAGTCCGGGGGCCTCAAACTGATTGAGGTACTCGCAGTAGCATCAGCTGCTTTGTGTAGTCAAAGAAGCTCTACGAGTCACAGCGCTCTCCCTCCCACGAGCCTCTCCCGTCTGGCGCGGCGCCTGGGCCATAACGCCCGTTCTGCCCGCATAACGCAACGCCCTCCCTACCCCCCCCAGTCGAGCAGTAGCGAAGCGTCCTGGCCTGCCCACGACAATAGGTTCTAAGAACCTACTGGGGCTTGCGCGAAATTGTCTTATCGCTTCTCTGGTTGAGACAGCTCCCCAACTAGGTTTGCCGAAGGGGTTCTTACTTCGTCAAACCTTGGTGCCTCCTATTATTTCTTTGCCCGTTGCTCGGAGGTTCCTCTGGTTCCTCGGATTGTTCCTCGGCTTCCCCGCCCCTGGTGCTTCCCATTGTTTGTTACTTTTCCCGTTTACCCGAGGTTCCTCGGGTTCCCCGTGTTCCCCGGGTTCCTCGGGTTACCCGCCCCGGTTGCCTCCTATTGTTACGTTGCCGTTCCTCGGAGGTTCCTCGGGTTCCCCGGGGTCCTCGGGTTAACCGTCCCCGGTTGCCCCAAGCAATGCCAAGGCATTGCCCACGGTTGCTCCAAGCAGTGCCAAGCAACGCCAAGCAATGCCAAGTAATGCCAACCCATGCAAATGCCAACCATTGCCAACGCCAACCAATTCCAAGCAATGCCAAGCAAATGCCAAGCAATGCCAGGAAATGCCAAGCGATGCGCCCAGCGATGCGCCCATGCAATATAGGCTTTCCCCTAATTTGGGTCGCGCAGAGTTCATCTGCCTTGTTAATGCATCGGCCCGATGCTCTAAGAGCATTGTGGCTTGTTCTCGGAGGCATGGTTTTGATCTGCGAGATCGTGGTAGGCCTACAGAAATGCTGGGACGGTCGGTCCCTCTCAACCCAGTGCGTCCGGCACCACAGTCTGGGGTGCCGGACACGCGGCTGGGGGGGGGGGGGGGGGGGTTTCGTTTTGTCCCCCCGCCCCCCCCTCTCCTCGCGACTTGAAAAATGTTCTCCCCCCCCTTCCCCACAGCGACCGTTCTCGCCGCAACTTGAGAAGTGTTCTCGATGGGCCGGGGAGGGGCCCACGGGCCAAGGCCCGGGAGGGGGCCGCACGGGAAGGCCGTCGATGTTTCACTTGGCCTTCGTCCGATGATTGGCCATCCTGGGTCTCGACCGCTCTGTCCTCAACAGCCACACAGACTGCTGCAAGAATGAGAAGGCGCAACCAATCAAGGAGCAGAAGAACTGTTGGACTGGGGTGTCGCTTGGTGCAGCGTGTGGCCCAACCGATGGTGCAATGGTGCAACCGATGAGCAAGGGGCGAGTGGATGGATTGCGGATCGCCTGGCGCAACCTATGGCGCAATGGCATGCTAGTGCTGCCGCAATGCTAAACGGGTGCCTGGCACAAGCACTGGTTTCGCTGCGCGGTGTCTGCCGCAACCTTTGGCGCAACGTAGGGAGCAACCAATGGAAGGAAGGCTTGCAGGGGCAATTTCGCGATTTGGTTGCGCGGCGGGTTTCTGTACGTATCGGCCACAACGTATGGCGCAGCCTGTGGCGCAACCTATGAATGGTAGGCTCACCCGGAATATCGCGATTTGGTTGCGCGGCGGCTTGTCTGCCGAAGCCTACGGCACCGACTGTGTTGCCGATGCTATTCAGGGTCGATTGGCGGGTCGAGGTGCCTGTTGTCTTGCACGGGGTGGTCATGGCTGATTGTTCGAGTCCGCCCTACGGGCCCTCTCTCTCTCTCTCTCTCTCTCCCTTGGGCCACCTGGTGGTCCCACGGCCACGGTCCTGGCGGAGTCCTCCGGCGCGGCGGACTTGCGACGGACCCTCAGCAACTTTGCAGACCCGGCGGCGCGGGAGGCGCTGGTGGCCGGCGGCGGCGGCGAGGCAGAGGCCCCCTTCTGCCGTCGGGGCAGAAAAGTTATGTCGGGCCTGTCCCCTTCCAGGGGGATCTTCGACGACAATTTTTTAAAAAATGCACCAAACATACACCACAAAGGTCAAATAATATTCAAAAAATAGTCCCCAGACCATTTTTGTATTATTTTTGTATTATTTTTGGGGTATTTTTATTTTTCGTCGAAAATCCCCCTGTAGGGGGACAGGCCCGACGTAACAGAAAAGCTTAGCAGCACGGATGCCCTCGTGTTCGCCCTCGTGGGCCTCCCGGGGGCCCTCGTCGCCGCGGCCGGCGTCGCGACGGAGTCTCCGTCAGAAAAAAAAGCGCTCCAGGACCGGGCCTCGGGAGCCGCGGTGCCCGCATATCGTTGCATGTCCCCCAGGTTGGTGGACAGATCGGCCACCTCGAGGCCGTCTTCACCCTCACCAACACCCTGATCGGGGCCGGCGTCTTGGGCGTCCCGTACGTGTTTCCTCAGGCCGGACTCGGCCTGTCGCTGGGCATTCTTGCGGTCGTGGTGGCCCTGGTGATGCTGGCGGGCGTTCTCCTCGTGCGCTGTCTGGACCACGCCGAGGGGCAAGACGAGTCCGCCGAGGCTGAGATTGACTTCGGTCTTCTCGGGCAGCTCGCTTTTGGAAGAAAGGGGCAGGCTGGCATCAACTGTGTATTCGCGTTGGAGCTGTGGCTGGCTACTGTGATATTTTTCGTTCTCATTGGGATCAATACAAAGTTTGTCTTCGGCTTGGAGCCCTGGCTGTCGATCGTCGTCTCTGGCTTACTTACATTTGGACTCTTCTACATTCCTATGCGCGTTCTTGCTTTTCTTTCGCTCATCAGCGTTCTATTCATGGGCTTGCTTCTTGCCGTGCTCGTATATTCTGGCGAGAGCATGCCGATGCATGCAGACCAGATCGAGCAGCTTGTCTGGGTCAACTGGGCAGGCTCAGGACAGGCGCTTGGAGTGTTCTTGCTGTGCTTCGCTGGGGCCCCATGCATTCCTTCAATATACTCTGCCGCCCGAGACAAGCGACGCTTCCCAGTAGCTCTCATATTATCTTGCATCCTGGCGATGTTGTATTACGCTGCATGTGGAGCTCTTGGGTACATGTTTTATGGGAGCCAAATAAACCAGAGCTTTACTGTGAATCTCGGGCTTGCGCTAGATGGCTCGGGCCTCAAGGGCGGCGAGGTCTTGCCCCTGATTGCGGCGGTGGGTTTGCTGGTGAAGCTGCAGGCTACGATGCCCGTTATCGTGTCACCGGTGCTGGTGGCTCTCGGATGGAAGGGGGTGGTCTTGAAGATTCTGTACATCGCGCTTACATCCGCAGTGGCCATCGGTCTCAGTGAGTACGTCGACGCTGCCATGAGCATCACCGGACTATCGGCCACAGTGACAAGTGCCGTGCTGTTTCCCATAGTCGTGTACATCAAGCTCTGCAAGCCTCCACTAGTTGCTCGCCTTTCTTTGGGCCTCATATGTACGCTGGCTGCCACTGTCGCGGTGATTGGCAGCGTGCAGACGGCCATCGGCCTTGTTAACAAGGAGGCATTTTCAGCCGGCATGTCATAGCATGTTCGTCAATCTTTATCAACCTCGCCATTTTAAGTTCCACGGTCACCGTCCACAGGGAGAGTAGCGCGAAGCAGTGTCGCATAAGGAAGCAGTCGGCAAATTGTAAGGCGTTGCCCACGAACTGGCGTTCCGAGGTGCCATGACGCTAGACATGGTGGATCAATTGAGTAAACTTGTCCGCAGAGTGGCAATACAGATGGAATCGCATAGGCAGGAGTACACAACAAATGCTTCTGAAGACTTGTTGGCGCGCCATTCGGCAAGTGTACCTGGGTGGTCTGCCAAAAGAGTAGGATCTCAGATGCAGAAGAGCGTGCCTCGTAACATGACCTGCGGTGTGACTCTCCAACCCAGTACGATTCGGCCCCGATTGGAGAGCTTCCACCTCCGCCCCCGCGGAGCAGGACTCCGACACCGATGACGAGGACCGACGAGGACGACAACGACGACGAGCGAAAACGCCGACGAACGACGACGACGACAAAGCATACACGCGCGAAACCGAAAAATGCACGGGGAATGGACGTCCGAGCGATGGCGAGTGATCGGCTGCGGCCTCGCGCCCCTTGCCCAGACGGGCTCGGGCACACTTTTGATTCGCGGGGACGTGCACGAGGTTTCGGACAGCAGCAGCTGGGGCGCGGCAGCGGCAGCCGTGCCTCGCCAAAAATGTGCCGGAGCCGTCGACTCGCTCGCTCGCTCGCTCGCTCCCTCGAAGCTGGTCGTTTTTCGCTGCCTCGACTCGCACGTTTTGATACGCAGCACGTGCCGTGCTCGAAACGCCAGTGTCAAAGCGTTGCGTGTTGGCTCAACGTGCTGGCCCACGTTCTGGCGAACGTGCCGCGCCAGGCGTACGTTTTCAATCTGCGTGTTGAGCTCCGTATCAATGCGCTACGTGTTGCGTGTTGCGTATCGGGGCAGCTCAGTGGTCGTCGTCGCTCGTCGCTGTCCTCCTGCGTCAGGACCCCCGACGTCGTGGCTCTGCCGCAGCGTGGCCCCCCAGAGGTCCCCCTCCCCAGAGGTCCCCTTCTCCAGGGCTGGCGTTGTGTCCTGAGGCCCGGCAGCTTGCACCCCCTGGAGGCCGAGCGTCGTCATGCCCGGCGTGGTTTTTCTGGGCTCTACGACGGCGGTGACGGCGACGAGTGACGACGACGACGACGACCAAGACGACGACGACGAACGACACAATGAAAGCAACGGCGAACGACGAAGACGGCGATTACGAGGACGACGAGGAGGACGACGAGGACGACGAGGACGACGACAACGGCGACCGCGGGAAACGAAGGCGACGGTGACCTCGACATCCACGAGGAGTTTGACCTCGTTGAAGACGACGACCGACGACAGACGATGCTGGCGGCCTTCTCGACGAAGGACGACGTCGCTGCACTCCGCGGCGGCTGCGACGGCGACGGCGAGGGCGCTGCCCTCTTCCAGACCGTGCAGCTGGGGCCGCCGGAGCAGATGGAGTCGGAGGGTCAGGCCACATCGCCGATGCGTCGGCGATGAAGTCCCCACCCCGTCGTCGTTGATTCATTGGCGATGCGGTGCCACCATCCAACCCAATGTGATTCGGCCTCGTTCGGACGGCTTCCGCCTCCGCCCCCGCGCAGCAGGACCTCGACACCGACGACGATGAGGACCGACGACGACGACGAGGACGACGACGACGACGACGACGACAGTGGTGGCGACGGCGACGACGACGATGACGGCGACGACGGCGACGGTGGTGGCGACGACGACGAGGACGATGACGACGACGAGGACGACGGCGACGAGGACGAGGACGAGGACGACGGCGACGACACCGACCGATCGACCGACCGGCCCATCCACGGGCGGCACAGGCCTGGTGGCCGGCGCTGCGCGAGGGCGGCGCGCTCGCGGGCCACGACTTCGTGCTCACTTTCCCCGGGGTTTCCCCGACCGCCGCCGCCGCCGTCGTCGACTTCGTCGTCGTCGTCGTCGTCGTCGACGTCGTCGTCGTCGTCGTCGTCCTCGTCGTCCTCGTCGTCGTCGTCCTCGTCCTCGTCCTCGTTCTCGTCCTCGTCCTTGTCGTCGTTCTCGTCCTCCTCGTCATCGTCGTCGCCGTCTTCGTCGCTGACGTCGTCGTCGTCGTCGTCGCCCCCGCCGTCGTCGTCGACGTCGACGTCGTCTCGGGGCGCCCAGTACAAAGTTTGAAAACAAAAAATCAAAAAACTCCCTGGCGATAATTCGGGACAGTCGAGGTGGGTACGGAAAGAATGGGCACGCTATTCTTGGCTTCTTTTGAACAGGCGTCGGTGTCGCCATGGACGCTGCTCATTTGAGGCAGAAGGCCGCCTGCCCAACGGCGCCCGCTGTCGTTTTTGAACAACACTTGTCTCTGGGCATGGTAACAATGTTTTCCGAACCTACTTCAGGCGTCCAAAACAACTATCGTGACGGGGGGGGAGCGGGGAGGGGGCCAGTCACGTAAAGATCCGCGCCACCGTTGTCTGGGAATGCCTGAGAAAGAGGCCGATGTCGGTTTCGGGCAACACTTGCTGTTGGGCCTGGCATCCATGTCTTCCGAACCCATTTCGGGCGTCCAAAACAACTGGCGTGACGGGGGAGGAGGGGTGGACCGTATATGGACAAAACAATAGACACCTTCATTCCAACCCCCCAAAAAAATCAAAGTTGGTCCCAGGCATTCGGCAGCACAGGCGTGAGAGGGGAACAAAGAGTGGAACCCCCAGGGCCTTCGCTAGCCCCGACCCAACTGTGAACCTGGGGGAAGGGGAAGTACACGAACACGGGGCCGAACACGACAGTGTTCTACCTTTCTTGTCCCCTTCCGAGAGCTGGGGGATCCAGACTGGCGCGGCGGGGGGGCGACCTGGACATCCGCCGATCTTACGTTCGATTCCGCGGCCCCGGAGGTCCCGACCCCTTCCTCCGGGGTGGTTTTCCGTCCCAGATCCGTTTTTGATGGCCCCGGGCCCGATATAACGGGCCCCAGATGCCGAAGCACACGAAAAACCCATGATTAAAACAATTAATGTCTTCGGATCTCCAGGGAGGGGGGGGCGGAGGCCCGTCGCGTGAGAATTTGCGCCGCCGCCGTCCAGGGATGCGTAAGGGCAGCTCATTTCCCCAGACGGCGCCGGCGCGACTCCCGACGGGCCCAAAAGGGGGGGGAGGTGGAGAAGGAGCATCGGCGGCCCTACCTGCGGCGGCTCCCCCGCTCTGTAGCACAGTCAACCCGCACAGTAAGGATGAGAAGATTCAGCAGCTTCCCAAGGTTACCCCTAGAGACTGCTTTTGTTTAGACTCTGGCAAGTTCACTTGCATTGACGGGGGGGGGGGGGGCGAACCTGAAGCAAGCCGCAAGCGACTTGCACGCGCGGGAAGCATGCACGTCGAGAGGCACTTGCACGCTAGCATGCGCTTGAAGAGGGGCGTGGGGGGGGCGGGGGCGAAAGCCATGCAAGCAAACTTGCTTGAGTCTAAACAAACAACCTCCTAGAGATCCGACGCTCCGAACAAAAATGGAGCGAGTAGTTCTTGGCCGTTTTCGGCCTCCGGGGGCCCTCGCCGTGCCTCGGGAGCGTCAAAGAATGACGCAGGACGAAAAACTGGTCCCAGGGAATGGGTCCAGACCTCTGGGGTTCGATGTTGTGCTGGTCCTGTCTTCGACTTACAGTCAATCCGCAAAGGGAGGATGAGCAACTTTCCAAGTTTACCCTTGCATCCTTCCCCCTCGGCCCTTACTTGGTCGCCTTTGCTGGCCACGCCCCGCTCGCAAAGCGTCTGCATGGCCTTCCAAGGCCCTCGCACCCTTTTCGCGCGTCTTCCTTCTACGGGATGACTTCTCGTACAATTGCATTGACCCCTGAAGGTTTTCGGATGCTTCTCAGCGGCTGCACCTCGCCCAGAGAGTTCGGGGAGTTTCTGCATCGCCCCGGACGGTCACCGCAGACCCGAGCCATGACCCGACCATCGATGAGCTGTGGACCCCCGTGGCTTCTTCGCTGTCCTCGTCCTTTGTGGACCTTCCTGTGCACCTCGGCGCGCCCTCTGGGCGCAAACTCTTCCCGCTGCAGGTCTACGACCGATCCGAACCAGGCCACCACCCACACAACTGCCGGCAGTGTACCTCCACGCATCGCACATGACCTCGAAGAGCTGCTTGCTCTCGCGATTCCGTGAGTCCTTCGTACGACAGGGACGAGTCGTTCCTGTGATGCGAGAGGGTGCTTCGTATGGTGCGAGAGAGCTGTTTCTGCGACAGCTGTTCTGAGGACGAGCGGGGGCGGTCCCCCGCCACGAGCCCCGGCGGCGAGCGAAGGGGGAAGGAGGAGGAGGACCAGTGTAAACCCAAGAGTCATCAACGATGTTGGAATAAACCCCGCCAAGGTCCCTCCTCATAGGCACCCACACCGGTCCATTTCCACTGAGGGAACTGCCTCATTGGAAGACGTCCGTTTGATGACCCTGACGCATGCCAAAGCATTTTTCTCGGGAGTCCAACGCCACGGATCAACCTGACTGCTGCGTCTTAACGAACCTGAATCGTGCCAGGACGCTATTCCTCTTACTTCAACACCACGAACCAACGTACTTGTTGCACCTTCATAATCCGAATTCCTACCAAAACGCCGAATATGGTAGGCTTTTGATGGGAATCCACGAAACTGTTGCAAATTAAAAGTGCGAGTGTGCGCGGCGCTTAGGCGAGAGCCACATTTTGAAAAGGAGCCGCCCTCAATCCGTGAAACTCTTGCACATTAAAAAGACGAGTGCACGCGGCGCTAAGGCGAGAAACACATTTTGAAAAGGAGACGCTTTCAACCCGGGAAACTCTTGCATTTTGTTAAAACGACTGCGCGCGGCGCTTAGGAGAGAGCCGTATTTTGAAAACGACCCGCCCTCTATCTGTGAAGTTGTTGCCAATGTTTAAGCTTCAGGGTCATAAGTGGTGAGGAAGTCTCCGGCGAAACACCCGGCCCGCTCCAAAAACTGGTTTCGGGGTGCGACAGGGAGAAATTATTCATAAGGGAAAGGAGTGGAGGTTCGTATGATGCGAGAGAGCTGCTCTTGCGACAGCTGTTCTTCGATGTCTGTTCATGGGAGTTTTGGGCGGCGACATTGAAATCAGCTTCCTGCATTTGGGCCGCATTGGGACCGCATTTGGTTCTTCCTCGTGCTCCTCCTCATTCTTCCTGGTTCTCCTCGTCCTCCTCCTCCTCCTCCTCCGCCTCGTTCTTGTCGTCTCCCTTGCGGTGAAAGGGGCGAATCTCGTCCAAACCTAGTCCAAATCGGGCCCAAATCGGGCCCAAATCGGACAGCGGCAGGGCCCACGCAGGCTCCCACGGAACGGCTCTTAGGACGAGCTGGGAGCGCGGCGGGGGGGCGCCCGGCTCTCGGACGCCGCCCCGGAGGCTCTGCCCCCCCGGGCCTCGGGGGCGGCCCCCCCGCCGCGAGCCTCGGTGGCGAGCGAAGGGGGAAGGCGGGGGGAGGAGGAGGAGGGGGAGGAGGAGGAGGAGGAGGAAGAGGAGGAGGAGGAGGAGGGGAGGAGGAGAGAGGAGGGAGGAGGGGAGGAGAGGCGGAGGAGGAGGAGGAGGAGGAGGAGAGGAGGAGAGGAGGAGGGGGGAGGAGGAGAGGCGGGGAGGAGGAGGAGGAGGAGGAGGGGGGAGGCGGAGGAGCGGAGGGGGGAGGGAGGAGGAGGAGGGGGAGGAGGCGGAGGAGGAGGAGGAGGGGAGAGGAGAGGCGGTGGAGGAGGGAGGAGGAGGAGGAGAGGGAGGAGGTCCGTAGGATGCGAGAGGGCTGTTCCTGCGACAGCTGCTCCTGCAGGACGAGCGGGGGAGGCCCGGCCGAGGCAGCGGCGGCCGGCCTCGGCGCTTCTCCTATCGCGCGGGGCCTCCCGGAGGCCTCGTCGCCACGGCCCGGCCCGCCCCCCCCCCCCGCGACGCGTCAGGAAGGGCTCCCCTTCGGAGGGGTCCGGGGGCCGAGGGGATCTGTGTCGAGCAGTGGCGAAGCGCCACGGCTTGCCGATAGGCTTGTGGAGGACGATCAATGGAGAGGAAGCATGTTGCCAAATCATTCCCAGATGTCAAAAACATGTGCTCAACATGTTTTTTTCTTTAAAAGATGTGTAAACATGTTTTAAACCATTTCCAGGACACTTTCCGACATTTTAAACACATTTTAATTGATGGTAGGACTGTTAGGGTGTCCATTGTCGTGGCATCCACAACTTTAGGCCTATAGGCCCACCAGGGAGTGCTCTGAGAACTTTTGTGTGGTTTGCACGAAGGTCGGGTTGACCCAGAAGGGGGTCCAGCGACAAGAGGGTGATGCAGCAAATTTGGTGCAGTAGATTTGTGGGGTTGTAATGCACTTGGGGCGTGCAATACATTCCGGGGCGCAAACGTATTCATGGATTCTCGCGCGCAACACATTACTTGCAATACGACGCAATACAATTCTCCAGCGCAGTACATTTGCAAAACAATTGCCCCAAATCTATTGCACCACCCCTTTTCAGCTGGACCCCTTTTTGGGTCACACAAAGAAATGCTAGAACAGTTCTGGCTGCGACAGTCTTGTTTTAATGTATCGGTTTTATGTTCTAAGAGAACGGATTTTTGTTCTTAGAACTTTCTGGGGTTTTCAGAACATGTCGTGGTAGGCCTATAGGAATGCGGGGACGGTCGGTCCCTGATCAACTGTGCCAGGCGGGGGTGCCGATGTGCCCTCCGAGTGAGGACTGGGGTCCCCAGACCTCCTCGCGCTGTGCACAAAATTCGACAGGAGGTTTGTTTGCTATTTTCGGCATCTGGGGGCCCTCGCCGGGCCTCGGGAGCGTCAAACAAAGATTTAGGACCACAAACCAATCCCCACGAAGGGGACCAGATTTCTGAGGGTCACGTCATGAACAAATCACGACGTCGGGGGTCTGGGTTTAGGCCTCCCAGATGGGGTCCGAGTAGATGGGGTCGGAGGGTCGCGCGGTGTCGCCGATGCATCGGCGATGCGGCTCGACGTGGAGCCCGATTTGCTCCACGCCGATGGCGCCGATGCATCACCGGCGTCGCCGAGGCATCGCGGATGCATCGCCGATGCACTGGCGATGCATCGGCGAGGCGGCGCAGCCCTCGCTGAGCCCCTGGGCCGTCAAAAGCCGAGTCGGGATGAAAATGGCACGGCGACGATTGCCCTGCAAGAGATCCCCCTGAGAGCGAAAAGCGGGCGTCCTTGGTCGATCGGAAGCCCTGGGAACCGCGCATCCCCAGCTCGGCGGCAAGCCAAGGGGGGAGTGAGAGGGGTTGTTTCATGTTTTGGGTTTTCCCCCCCAGTAGCCCCCCCGGCCTTCTGAGAAACCGCCTACTTCGTCCTTTGGAGAGCTTTTTTTCCGACGGCTGGAGGCCCTCTTGAGCCTTCTGCGAAGGTCGGGCGGGTGGTAGTTGGGGGGGTGGCCCAAAGGGGGGGTGAAGAAGAGGGCCCAGGATGGGCATTCTGTGGCCCCTTTGGGCCACCCACTGGCTCCAGAAGGAGCTCGAAAGGTCGAAAGGGCCCCTTCGGGGCCCTCATCTTCGCCCCACAGTTGGGCCACCCCCCACCGCCGCCCGCCCGAGGAGGCCCGCCATCGCGGCATCCTCCCCTGGGGGTCGCCGCCGCCCAGCCTCCGACGCCGTCGGGGGGCCTCCGCCGCCTCCCGTGGACCCGCTTCGGGCTGCCCGGGGGCCTCGCGGCTTCCCGCGCGGCCGACGAGCTCTCCACACTCATGCGTCGCGCGTGTGGTCGCGACGCGGGGAGGTCTTGAGGCTTGGCGGCGCGCACCACGGGTGGCGCGAAGCGGGGGGGGGCGCCTCAAAGAATCGGGGAGCTTCCCAGACGAAGGACGGGGCCTTCGTGGAAGGGCCTGGGACCAGTACACACGAAGGTGCCCCAGAAGCCGGGAGGGCCTCCAAAAGGCCCCCGCCTTCTCCGAAGCCCCCCGCCTTTCTGGAATGCCCCCTCCCTTGGCGCCACCCCCTCGCGCCCGCTGCCAGGAAGCGGATGGTGCCTCGAGCCTCTCCCCGAAATGGAGGGTTTCTCCGAAGGGCTTAGTCTAATTACCCGTCCTCCTCCTCCTCCTCCTCCTCCTCCTCCTCCTCCTCCCCCTCCTCCTCCTCCTCGCCTACGGCCCCAGGGGAAGCCGTCCACCCCGAAGCGCGCGGGCGTGGGGGGCGGGCGGGCGCGGGCGGGGGGAGGTCGTCAGGGCGGCGACGGAGTTCGCCGTGCAGCACGAGATCCAGCTGTTCATCGCACCGGAGGCGCGCGCGTCGTCGTCGTCGTCGTCGTCGTCGTCGTCGTCGTCGTCGTCGTCGTCGTCGTCGTCGTCGTCGAGGTCGTCGAGGTCGTCGAAGTTGTCGAAGCCGTCGTCGTTGTCGTCGGAAGAGGCGGAGAAGGATGAGGAGGATGGGCTGGGAAGGAAGAGGAGTCGGAGGAGGAGGAGGAGGAGTTGGAGGCAGAGGCAGAGGCGGGGGAGGAGGAGGAGAACGGGTTGGGGACGAGCAGAGGTAGGGGAAGAAGTTCGCTCGTCTCCATGGTGGGGTGGGTGGGGGGAAAGAGCGGGACGATTCAGTCTCGGGAGGTTGCCGAAGGGCCATGGTGAGCACTATGCTGCGTATGGCACTGCCTTGGTTTGCCCCTGGAGAGTGTGTCCGATGAAGCCTCTGAATTCGGCTACGTAGCCTTGTTGCCCCTCGGGTTTCATCCTCGTTCCACCCGCCCTCCTCATTACTGTCTACGGTCGGGAGCTTTGGCTTCGCGTGTCGCGCCGCTGGTCCTGGCCCGCCATGCTTCGGCGTGACTGGCCCCCAAGTGCCAACGCCCCGAGCCGTTTCCCTGCCCCCCACCCCCCGCGGAGCGGCGCGGCACGCTAGCACCTTTCGAGGCACAGCGTGTCGCCGAGGCTGCCGCCGCGAGACGCTGAGCGCAAGCTCCGGACCGTGTACTGTGCGTCCTCTTCCCTCGTGGCAGTGTCTTCTGAAGAGTCGCGGCAGCGGCATGCGTTTACTCTGCGCCCAGGTGGCGAATCACGGCAGCTCTCGGGGCGAAAGCAGGTGCCAGCCCTGGCCCCGCAAGCTCGCACGGGAGATGCAGAGCTGGAAGGAGGCGCCCAAGGAGAGGAGGGCGAGGAGAGGAAGGGGCAGATGTCCAGACGAGGAGGGAAGCGGAGAGGAGCTTTGGTTCAGCGCGTCGCACCGCCGGTTCTGGCCCACCGCGCTTCGGCGCGACACGCTATATCCATTTCTCCACTCACAAGCGTCAACGTCCCGAGCCTTACCCGGCCACTCGCAGAGAGGTGCAGGGGGAGGGGGGAAGGTTTCTTAGATGAAGTCTGCTTCTTAGTAGGCGCCGGCCCTACATCTATAGATGAGACCCGCGCCTTCTAAGAAGCAGGGTGCTTCTAAGAAGCCTTCCCCCTCCCCCTACCCCCCTAATGCGCGTGGCCGACTTACCTCGCCTCCCGCCTCGCGGAGCGGAGCGACGCGCGGTCCGCGCGCCTCCTGGGCCGCCGCGGCGGCGACACACGCTATGCAAGAGCTCTCCCGACCGCAAGAAAAGGGGGGCGAAGAGAGGGAATGGTCCGGGCAGACGCGATGTACACACACACGCACACACACACACACTTGCACGCCTCCTCCTCCGCCTCCTCCACTTCCTCCTCCGCCTCCTCCACCTCCTCCTCCTCCACCTCCCGTGGCGGGAGATCGCCCTGGCCTGTGCGCGGTGCCAGGTCTGGTTCTTCGTGAAGGCTGGGGCAGAGGCGGGCCCGTCCTGCTTCGCCTGCGAGGGAGGGGCGCGACGAATAGAGAGGAGGAGGAGGAAGAGGAGGAGGAGGAGGAGGAGGAGGAGGAGGAGGGGGAGGAGGTGGAGGAGGAGGAGGATGAGTGTTTTTTGTAGCAGCATCGGTATGGCACGGTGATGCCGCCTGCCCAGCGCGATGACATCACGGTGCTGGAGCCGGTGGTCCTGGCTGTGCTTGAGGTGCTGGCGCGTATGTTTACCATCTCCCCGAGGAGTGAGAGAACGTACAATGTACGCGAGGGGTGGAGGCCGGCATGGTTGGCATCGGGGCCCACGATTCCTCTGGCCCTCCGCGTGCACGCAGGCGCTCCGTCGGGCCAGAGGGGGGCTGCGTTCCTCATTGGAGCGTTCCTTGTTTCAGCAGCCAGCTGTGCGCTTACGTGTCCGGCTCCCGCCTCGTATCTTGAATCGCGGAGGAGGAGGTGGTGAGCCTTGCGCCCGCCCCAGGCCCGAAGGCTCCCGAAGGCCCCCGCGAGCCCGAGGATTGCCCCACAGGGCGCCCCGAATCCGGGCACCACAAGAGGCGCCAACTGGCCCTCGAGGGCACGACCCAGACCCCCTCGCGTCATGAACCAATCGCGACGGGAGGTTTCTCGCCGTATGCGGCCTCTGGGGGCCCTCGCTGGGCCCCAGGGCCGTGGACCGTCCAAGAACTTCTCGGGGCGAGGAGACGGTCCCATGGAGTGGGTGCAGACCTCTGGGGGGTCGATGTCATGAAAAAATCATGACGTCGGGGGAGTGGGCCCCTGGTGATTTGGGCATCGCCCCAGGTCGCCCCAAAAAGCTGAAGCTCATCACACCAGTCGGCCACCGCGCAGAGGGGGGTAGGGGGAGGGCGGCAGTCTTCTTAGAAACACATCTGCTTCTTAGAGGGCACCGGCCTTGTTTGTTGATGTAGGGCCAGCGCCTTCAAAGAAGCAGCCTGCTTCAAGAAGCCTTACCCCCTCCCCTCTGCCCAGACCTCCGACGACGCGATTTTGTTCACAACGTCGACCCCCAGAGGTCTGGACCCCTTCCCGGGGACCGGGTTTTCATCTCGAGCCGTTGTTTGACGGTCCCGAGGCCCAGTGAGGGCCCCTGGAGGCCGAAAAGAACGAGAAGCTTTCCGCCTTCATTTTTTATATACAACGCGAGGAGGTCTGGGTGCCCCTTTGTGCGCGCCGCCAAGGCAGGGTGAGCCAGAAATCCCAGTACCGAAGCGTCGGACCGTCCTTGAAGGCAACACCGGGCCCCCCGGCGGCATGGGGATCGCCTGCTCGCCCCCGGCCGCCCCGAGCTCCCCAGCAAAGGAGAGACACCTAAGCAGCCCTCGAGGGCAAGGCGGGGGCCCCGGCGACTGGAGACCGACAAAGGGAGCACCACGCCGTCCTCGAGGGCCAAGCGGGGCCCCCGGCGGCGTGAGGATCGCCCCAGGACGCCCAACGAGTCTTAGCAACCGTCCTCGAGGGCCAAACGGGGCCCCCGGCGGCGTGAGGATCGCCCCAGGACGCCCAACAAGTTTTAGCCAACGTCCTCGAGGGCCAAACGGGGCCCCCAGCGGCTTGAGGAGCGCCCCAGGACGCTCAACTACCACCAGGGCGAAAGGATTGCCAAAGAGAATCTCAATCGCCCAAAACAGAGCCGGATGATATTTGAGCTCCGGAGCTCCGGGGAAAGTGGAAAATGTCCTCATGATCTCTCGATGTGCGTGATTCCCGTTTCATGAAAATGCATGCCAGGCGATATCTCTTCTAGTTGCGGGGACAGGGGGGCGAGGTGTGGAGGGGCGAGGGATCGGGGCGAGCGCTTCGGCGCCTTATTTCGCCCGTCGCCACTCGCTTCGCGTCTCTTCCATCCACCACAGCCAACTCCAAACGAGGAGGCCACGACGCGCCAAAAGCACGTCGACAACTCTTCTGAAACAAGAGTATACAAATGCATGGGCGCAGCATGCCGACAAATGCGGGCTACGCAGCGTCAAAGGAGGAGGCGGAGGAGGAGGAGGAGGAGGAGGAGGAGGAGGAGAAGGAAGAGGAGGAGGAGGAGGAGGAGGAGGTAAGGAAAAGGAAAATGGAGGACGAGGGAAGAGGAGGTGGAAAGGCGAAAGGAGGAGGAGGAAGAGGAGGAGGAGGAGGGCGAGGAGGAGAGGAGGAGGAGGATGAGGCAGGTGGAAGGAGGAAAGGAGGGGGGTGAGGAGAGGGGAGGAGTTAGGAGAGGGGGCAGAGAAGGAGGAGGAGGAGAGGAGGAGGGGGCCCGGGGGCGGAGGAGGAAGGTGGAGGCGAGGAGGATGAGAAGAGGAGGAGAAGAGGAGGAAGGAAGAAGACGATGAGGAGGAAAGAAGAGAAGGAGGAGAGGGAGGAGGAGGAGGAGGAGGAGGAGGAGGAGGGGGGAGAGGAGGTAGGAGGAGGAGGAGGAGGATGAGGAGGAAGGATGAGGATGAGGGGGGGAGGGGGTGGAGGGAGCAGCAGGAAGGAGGAGCAGGATGAAGCAGGAGAAGCAGGAGGAGCAGGAGGATGAAGCAGGGTGGGCAGCAGGAGGAGGAGGAGGAGGAGGAGGAGGAGGAGGAGGAGGAGGAGGAGGAGCAGGAGCAGGAGGAGGAGTGAGAGATGGGGAGGCGCGAAACGCGCACGGCCCGGCCGCGTGCGGCCTTAGGAGGGCGGCCACCGGCCGCGCTGGGCGAGCTCCGCCGGCGAGTACGCCCCGAGCCAGCGCGGGGGGACCTGCATGCTGCTGCAGCAGCATGCATGTTCTGCAGCCGGGGCCCCCCTCCATGGAGGGGGGCCCCGGCTGCACAACATCGATGTCGCGCCGGGCCTGGATGCTGTGCAGTTCGAGGACCCTTTCCAGCAGCCGCGCGTACGCCTCCGCGCCATCGCGGTCCTGCTGTGGCGGCGGGCGCCGCTCCGCCACCACGGCGCGCGCCTCCGCGGCGGCCGCGCGCGCCTCCGCGTCGGTCGCGCGCTTCTCCGCGGAGGCCGCGCGTCCCTCTGCGGTGGTCGCGCGCGCCTCCGCGGAGGTCGCGCGCGCCTCCGCGGCGGTCGCGCGCACCTCCAGGAACGGTGAGCATATCCATATCCGCGCCCTCGCGGTCTGAATTGCGAGGCACGATCCCGCGGATACGCCGTCGCACAGGTACGCCCCGCGGAGAGCATTCGCGAAAAGACGCCCCGTATCCGCGGGGCCGCGGCGCAAGAGCCCGGCCCGCGAGGCCACGGATATGGATATGTTTCCCGCCCGCGGGCCTCCGCGGCGGCCGCGCGCTCCTTCGCGTAGGCGTGGCCTGAGCGGCCTGAGGCGCCGCCGCGGCGGCCGCGCCGCTTGGGCGCCGGCGCGGCCGCCGCCGCCGCGGCGGCCGCGGCGGCCGCGGGAGGCGCCGCCGCCGCCGCCGCCGCCGCCGCCGCTGCGCGTTTCCCCATGACCCCCCGGCGGCGGCCGCCGCCGATGCGGGGGGGCTGTGGTCTGCGGGGCGCAGCGGGGCGCGCGCGCATCCCCGTTCGAAATCCACCGGCGCGTTTCCTGTTTTGTTTGTAAACTTTATATCTCCTGGCCAGCATGGCGACTTCCTTATCGGAAAAAAAGCCCGCTCGCGCAGACGCGCGCAAGTTGAATTGCAATATATTTTACAAAGATCACCCCGCGCGCGCGTGGAGTTCCGTACTGTCAACGGTTGCCCAATTGGATTTCGAAGTGAACACGGGGTGCGATTGTTTGTACCGCGGTGTGGCTGCTCTTATGTTGCGCGCGCGCGAAATGATGCATTGCACGCGATAGAAATGTCGCCGCGTTGGCCTAGTGGGCGGGGTAGGAAACTAACATCAACCCTCTGTCACCGACTGTGGCGCAGAATTTCCAACAGCCAGCAAGCGCGCGTCCGCGCGAGAGCGCATTTTTATTTTTTTGTTTTCCCGCGATGGGACAACCGCCAACCACTCGGTTTGGGCGTCGCAGATCGGGTTTCCAAACCGCGACATACGTCTTGTATACA